TTTTTTTTTTTTTTTTTTTTTTTTTGGAACAAAACTTCCTATGTGTATGAATTTAAAGAATTATTGATATGTACTAATAGAAAAAATATTATTCTTTGTCATACAAACGATTCCATCAATATTCTGGAATCAAACGTTGATGTGGAAATTTGATCACGCTCAGTTGAAGCAATAATTGGTCATGGGGACAAGGAGTGAAAAGTTTGGGTGAAGAAAGAAGGGGACCAAATACATATTCACAGGACTAAAGCCTTTCATTTCAAATTAGGGTTAAATAGTTAAAGAATATATTTATAATTTTAAATAAGGGTTGCTTAGTATTTCCACATGATTCTTTTTATTTTTAATTAATAAATTAAGCATTAGGACACATGGCATCATTTCAAGAGGTACATGTTATGGATACGAGTAGAATAACCCAAACTCACTATACTCAGCATTATCAATATAATTAAATAATATCAATCAATAATTCTTAAATATTACATCAACTTTAATAAATTATTATTACACTCACGTAATTTTAATTAATCATTAATTATTTTTCTTCTACTTTTACATTAAATCAACTTTAATTATTTTATTTTAAACATATTTAAATATTTTATTTTAAACATATTTAAATTTGAATTTCCAATAACAACTAATCATACCATTTTTTTTTAAATTAATTATTGGCAAAAAAAACTAGCCAAATTCCTATTCAATCACACCTAAATATAATTGACCAACTGCTAACTGTATCGAATTTGATATACGACTTAAGAGTTATCCAGATGCTCATGACATCCAAAAGAAAATATAAATTCAATTTATTTGCAACCGTACCATAAGAGAGCTTAAAACTATCATCAATTTTATATAAATTCAATTTATTTGCAACCGATACCATAAGAGAGCTTAAAACTACCATCAAGTTTTCCAGATATAATATCACCTAACAACCAGACCGATACAAGAAACTTAGAAACCTGATTCATGTTTCCTCAGTTTCGATAACAAGAACAGTCTAATAATATGGAAAAAAAGTTGGGTCTTATACGCAATGCAAACCAGATTCAACTTGTACCATGTTCTTTCCCAGGTTCATAACTTTACCATCAATAAATATAAAAGGCACACAGAGAAATCTAAACATATATCTCCAAGCTGCAGCTTAAAGAACCGTGATGACTGCACGTGAAATCAATCTCACAGTACCATGGCGTAATAACTCGATCAAATTTCAATTTTTATTCTTAGCATAGCACATTTCTGTTAGAGCCAGACAAAAACCGATATTAAGACAATTTAAAAGCTTGAACTAACTAATATTCATAAATTTAACCAGCATAACCCATCAGCCATTCAGAAGCAACATAAAATAATCTCTGCAAATTATAAAAGGTGGACGAAAACACAGTTGTCAAAAGCTGGAATTCTACAAAACATTGGGAAAAACTAATGATAAAACATATATAGATTGTGCCGTCAGATAATGCTCTTACAACCTAAGCTCCTATGTTTGAAGCCTTGTTAAGGATAACTCCCTCATATTTCACCTGGAACCACTTCATGGCATCATCCTTAGTGACCCTGTGCTGGATCCCAACACGGGACTTGCACCTGCGACGACGGCCTACACGGTACCCAGGGCGTTCCAGAACAACGTAAAAGTCCATTCCATAAATACCAGTTGAAGGGTCATACCTAGAAAATGGTTATTGAATTAGCATGTGTTGAGAAATTAATTTACCCATCATCTGAGTACAATAAATTGAGATATGCAAGAAATTATTCCACCAACAATGCTTTTATATTATAGTTCGAAACTAGTAAGTTATCAGAATCACCAGGGCCACAACTGATAACAAAACTTGAAGAATAATAGGGTTGAAAAAATAAAAAGACTAGCACCTCATTATTGTCTTTATATAGAAAGACAAAATATAATGTTTCTAGAAATGTAATTGAATCTCCTGATTTCTGTTGTCACTACGCCATAAGTAAAACGCAAAGCTGGTTTCAGTTAATTTGGGGAGGGGGTATTATGGCATGAACGAATATGCTTACTTAATTCCAAGATCAATGTGTTCCTGAATTCCAAAACCAAAACAGCCAGTCTCGCTGAAGTTCCTTCTCAAGAGCTCATATTCCTTGACCTTCAAGCCACTCTCAAGGAGTTGCATTGCCTTGTCACCTCTAACCGTGACGTAGCAAGCAATTTTTTCATTACGCCGAATCCCAAAGGAACGTACAGTATACCTTGCTGTAAGCGTGGGAAAAAACAGAATGTTTTACAATATTCCAGATCTATAATGCACTTTAATTCAATCTCGATCACAAGTGATACAAGATATGTAAAATAAAGGACCCCAAAAATATATAACAGTTTATTACTTCTTAAACACAATGTATGCACTTTAAGGAAGGAAAATTATGCTGCCAATTGATATCTTCTCTTCAAGCCTTTCTGAAAGGAAACAGTGACTACGTCTGAATAACAAACATGAAACTTGACCAAAACCCAGGGGCCAATAGTCCTCAATCTGGTAAGGTTTGACATATAGAAATTCGACAAGACTCTCAAACTCACTACATCATATATGCCAATCCTCAATCACAACATTAAAGACAGCAAATGCTTCAGATAATCCAACAATCAACTCTTGAAATGCTTCAAACATTACATAACAGCACAGTATTCTAACCAGTTCCTTCCATTCCTAGACTCACATATACCCACATAAACTGAAAATATTACTGACACGAGAATACGATCTAATAACTCAAGCATCGAATATTTACCCTTGGAGAAAACAGGGGTTTGGCCACTGAGTTGCTCCAACACCTGAAAAACAACAGGAAAAAAAAA